CCACCCGGCTGTATCCCGTTGGGGAGCTGCTGGGGTTTTTGACAGTGCAATAAGCCCCTAAGTCTATACACTCTCTCTTTAAGCTTGTGAAAGATACAATTATCTTTGGGTTACAAAGCCTGGAGGTTGTTGCATATACAGCTCTTCTATTACACCTTCCTGCAAAACAAAAAAAATGCAAAAAAGAATGCAGCTTTTATTTCAAGGTGTCTTAACATCCATCTTCTTGGAGGCAGCTAAGTTAAGCAACCATATCTTATGGTGTTGTGTTCAACAACTGGTACAAATGTTTCATCAGAGTTTATTCCAAATTTCTGTGAGACAGCCCAAACAATTAGTCTTCCTTTCTATCATTCCACTTTTCACTCTGCTTCCTGATTCACATTAAACACCCATCTGCATCCTATCACCTTCTTTCATCATGGGACATCCATAAGTACACATGTTCTGTTTTTATGCATTGCACCTATTTCTTCTTGTGCAGCTGTTCTCTGCTGAATAGCCTTAGCTATAGGCTTGACTGTTCACTGTGTAACACCAGCCTTGAATAAAGGACAAGGGTAGATCTAGACCAGTGTGTGTTAGTGAGCATGGGACTAGTTGTTGTTCACCTTCTTCTACCACTTTAATTACTCTGCTTGAGAGATCCAGTATTATCCCTCATAGGACCTTATCACACGCTGGCTCATGAAGCGAAAAGTAACCAAAATAAGAATAAATCAGTTCTATACCGAAATGAACTGAAATGCTTTACAATATGTACAGCGTGATCATATGTATTTCGCCTGTGCGGCCATTGCGCAATAATTCTGAAAGCTCGCTTGTACTTCCCCGATAAACCGAATGTCAAAAGATCTCAATTCATTACGGATTAGCTCCGGGTTCTGTCGAGTTTCGGTGCAACGTCGTGTGTAAACACGGGGGAACTAATACGGATTAGCTTTGGGTTCTGTCGAGTTTTGGTACAGCGTCGTGTGTAAACACGGGGAACTAATACGGATTAGCTATGGATATCCTTTGGATTAGGTCTGCTTTAGACCCCGTGTGATAAGGTCCATATTTCCCAACAAGAAAGGCCATTTCTGGGGATACAATTTTTCTGTATGGCAAACAAGAAAAGTCTGCTTCGCAAGCAGAACACTGCCTACAGTTCTCTGGATCTGATCTATTCTTTCCAAAGTTTTGTTTTTATGAAATACTCAAGAGATAATTTCAACACTTTCACTAGAGTAACATTTGGGAAATGCTTAATAGCTGTCCAAAAATATTTTACAATCCACAAACAGACATTACCTATCCTGCCAGCCCACACGTACCTATTTCCAGGAGGAGGAAACGTTTTGCTCTTCTTGAGTGAGATGATTGTGCTGAGCAAGAAAGCCAAAATGGTTTTACAACTGAGAAAAACACAGATAAACAAGTCAATTTCATTACAGCCCACAAACCATAAAAAAAGAGATCAATGATAGACTGAGGGGTCGTTCACACTACGTTATAAACTGGTTTGCAAACCAGTTTAAAAGTGGGTTAGTCACACTTGCGCCAGTTTTTCTGACCCGAATTCAAGGGGTGGGGTAGGGCAATTCCCCCTTAACCTGTTTTTTCCATAAATTATTTTCCACCATGTCTTTTCAAAAGCACTGGATTTTTTAAGGGAGCAGCCAATGGCAACTTCCTCCCAAACACATTCAGGGCATCCAGGAGGGAGGGGTTAATGTGCAAGGGCAGATCATGCTCACCCCTTTGCTCTTTCCCTGCCAGCCATGGAGGAGATTCTCAGAACATCCATTAGACAGTGTCCTTTTTAAAAAAGAAAAGAAAAATTGACAAATTGTACACATTGCATGGCTACAGTAGACAGTATCTTTAAATACTGGCATCATTGGCATGACAAAGGTGTGGGGGGGACTTCTATCAGTGGGGGTAGGGCTTGGGAGTCTGAAGAACCAAGGGTTCTCCAGAGGGGCTTCCCATCACCATCCTCCAATGCTGACAGGAGGGAAATCACCCCAAGGCTAACCTATCACAGGGTTTCTAGGCAAGGGATCTTCTGAGGGGCTTGCCATTGCCATCCTCTGAAGCTGAGAGAGTGTGAATCCCCCCCAAGACTAACCTATCCCAGGGTTTCATCATTTGAATGACAGAACAAAAAAAATGATCGAATGCGATTGATATGGAGGATCCATTTTGAATCGGTGCTTTAGTTAGTATGAACTTCAACAGGGTTAAATTGTGCCAGAGAGACTTTGGGGTAAACATAGTGTGAACTTCGATTTGGAATCACAACGTTGATTCCACTCGGATCTCCTCGCTACAAAAATGCTAGTGTGAATGGGGCCTGAGATGGATTCAAATACATTGAAAATTCCACCTAACATAGACAAAGCAGTACTAGCATATAATAAAAAATGTAAATAAATTAGTGGGTCATTGCAGAATTTTCTTTGCTTGTTTGTATTGTGACCTACATTCTATCTTAGCCTTTCTGCTGTGGACCTCTCCTGCATTAAGTCTCATAGAAAATGGAAGTAAAGTAGGGTTACCATATCTGTCATTATGTCCATGGCTGCTTTGCCTCCTGTCTGCCAGCACCACCTCATCACCCTATCACAGTCTCTGTCATGAGTTCCACTGGGAGAAGGAACAGAGGCAAAAGGCAAAAGGCAAAAGGCAAAAGGCAAAAGGCAAAAGGCAAAAGGCAAAAGAGCAACTCAGAGGAGGGGAGACGAAGGGAGACAGACCCAGAGGGAGAAGGTGAGCTAGTCAAGTGAGGTAGCTTAGGGAGCTTCTGGACATGCAAGGGTGATGGCATAGGGAAGTTTGGTGTCAGAATAAATAGTGAGGGAAGAAGGAAAGACAAAATTGTTGTTATTTAAATACAGCAGTTAGGAATATCTCTAGTATCAATTATCATAGTTTATATAGTAAGATTATTTAAAGTGAGAGTCATCATAACAATCAATGGTTCGATGTAGCGAATTAATGTGTTCTCTTTTTTGCTTCTCAAAATATGGTAACCTTAAGTTTGTGTGTGTGTGTGTTGTGTGCCTTCAAGTCATTTCTGACCTATGGCGACCTATGGGGTTTTTTTTTGGCAAGATTTGTTTAAAGGGGGGTTGCCATTGCTGTCCTCTGAGACTGAGAAAATGTGACTTGCCCAGTGGGTTTCCATGACCAAGCCAGGATTCAAAACCTGGTCTCTCAGTGTCCTAGTCCAACGCTCAAACCACTATGCCACACTGGCTCTCTAATCTTAAGTTTACAAGTAAATAAATAAGTTGCAAAAGGGTAGGTGAAGGAGACGCTACAAACACTTTTTTCTCCTGTGGAGTTTGCTGAACTCTACTTACTGCAGCAGGCTTTCTACAAGAAATATGCTAGGGCTATGCATCATATCTTTTCTGGTATCCCTCCCCCTCTACCCTTTCTTCATTTTAAAATAATAACACAATAGTAAGTGATGAAAAGATGCTAGATAATTAATTATTAATTTGTGAAACAGTTTTGAATTGGTCTCCAGGAAGTGAATGAGGCTACATTAAATAGTCAGGGTTTGGTTTTTTAAATTCACTTCAGCGTAGGGAGAAGGAAAAATCAAATCTTCATTGTACCAGAAATGGAAAATTAATTTCAGGGCACAAAAGGCCAGAACCTCCAGAGGCAATTACTTTCCATTTCTTTACCTGTGGTTTGCTTTATGACAGATCGTACAGTTGTTGCTGCTTTATTCTTGTCAGCAGTCAGACTTCTTTCTCAAAACTAAATGCTAAACTGGAATAGAAAAGACTGAGAGAAATGCAGTCAGCAGTATTGAGCTTTTGCAATTCCCACATCAATTCTGGTGGAAAGTGTCTATTCTGCCTCTTGAAAATTAATAAAATGAGATATTTTATCGCTGTATAGAGAACTTTGTGTCATGCAGCTGGTAAAATCAGCCCACCTTCCCTTATCAACACATCAGAATGGATACCATGGGCTTCAAACAGTATTATTTTTTTCTTTTTAAAGAAAGATTTCTTAATACATTGTCCAGGAAAAATGGCTTTTGGTACAGGTTGACCTCAGTCAACAAAGGGCCTTTGCAGACTGCCAGAAATAGTGCACATTAAATTGAGGCACTGCCCTGGCTCAGTGCTAGGGAGTCATGGGAACTGTATTTTTTTCTGAGACATTGAGCCTTCTCTGTCAGAGAGCTCTGGTGCCACAATAAATTACAGTTCCCATGATTCTCTAGCACTGAGTCAGGCAGTGCCTCAATTTAATGTGCACTATTGCAGTCTGTTTAATATGCAGTCTTTTTAAACTATTGCAGTCAGTTTAATGTGCACTATTGCAGTCTGCAAAGGCCCAAAGTCTATGTGTTCCTGACATTACTTCTTTAAAAGAAAATGTGGTACAAAGGGCATAAATAGCATGGGAAGAACAGGGATATGTTGTTATACCACAAAAGAAGAAGAAGAGAAGGAGGAGGAGGAGTCAAAGTTGAATATGTTTGAGCAAACATTTTATTTGATACTAAACAATATGCACATATGAAATGGAACAACCATACATAATTTTGAACCTTCTATAGGCCACTTGAAGGCTTTTCTCAAAATGAATGCCAAAAACAATTATTTCACAAGCCTTCATTTTCTTTTTTATTATTATTATGGTGGCTAAAGTTACAGATCTATGCTTTTTTAAAAAAGAAAAGAAGAAAACATACTTGGGGCAACTAATAAGGCAGACTTATCTGCTCTCCCTTTTCTCTCTTGCTGTTCACATGTGCTCAGTAAGGGATTTTAGAAACGGCTACTGTTTACCTTGTCTCTTGTATATGACCAAGAAGAAATAAAAAGATCATGGAAATAATACACAGAAAAACTATATAAAAGAGACAAAAGGATGACAGATTCATTTAAAAAAGAATCGTATGAGGATGAGCCTTCAATTTTAAAAACTGAGGTGAGAGTTGCACTCAAAGTACTTGACAGAAATTAGTCACCAGGAACTGAAGGCATACCAATAGAGCTGCTCCAAGCTACAGAGATGGAATCTACTCTAGTTCTAACTAAAATCTGTCAACAAATTTTGGAAAACAAAACAATGGCCAACATATTGGAAAGACTCAGTATACATTCCAATCCTCAAGAAAGGGGACACCAAGAATTGCAGTAGTCATTAATTTCTCATTCTAGCAAGGTGATGCTCAAAATTCTACAACAACAAAGATTCTTACCATATAGTGTCATATGGAGTGAGAAATGCCAGATGTCCAAGCTGGGTTCAGGAAAGGAAGAGGCATGAGGGATCATATTGCAAACATATGGTAGATAATAGAATGTACTAAGGAATTTCAAAAGAAGATCAGCATGTTCTTTATAGAGTACAGCAAAGCATTTGATTGTGTAGATCACAAGAAACTATGGCTCTTAAAGAAATGGGTGTACCACAACTTTTCATAATCCTGATGGATAACGTACTCCAGACAAAAGACTACTGTTAGGACAGAATACAGAGAAACAAGGGGTCAAACAAGGCTGCATTCTATCACGTTATCTGTTTAACTTGTGTGCCAAAAACATCATATGAAAAGCAGGATTAGAAGAAGGTTTAAAAATTGAAGGAAGGGACATCAATTATCTAAGCTATTAAGATGACACCATACTAGTAGCAGAAAAAAAATCTATTTAAAAACCTGGCTGAATATACAGTGAAGTAGAAAAATATGGCAATATACACCAGGCTTGCTGGGCTCAACCAGTCATGCCCACAAAAAACTCCTCCCACACCTGGCCCCATTCCAATATCACTATAGAGCACAGTCCACACATGAATATACAGATTTTTCACTCAAATCCACAGTAAATCCCCACTTTTTTTCCCTCCAGATTAAAGCCTTGAGACACTGGAAAGGCCCAGATTCATCCCGAATCATCCATACATTGTCTGGACTGCTCACAGTAAAAATGAGGTGAGATCATTTTATTTAGCACATGTAGACATGCCCACAGTGGGAGGGTGTGGGATGACAATAT